TAGCTTCATGAGGAGATGTCATGTTGCAAAAAAACAACAGTGGTGAGCCATACGATATTGAACTGGACCTCAGCACTTGAAGCTTGCTCGGTCAAACGCCCTCGAGATATCGCGGTAAACGCGAGCAGTATCAACTGTCGGTTCTGTCGGCTCCTAAATGGCGTTTTTTTCGAAAGAATAAAACCATATACAAAAGTTTTTTCATCAAACTGACCAAATGGAGCGCCCAAGCGCCCGGCCAGCGCCCGGCCAGCGCCCGGCCAGCGCCCCACCCGCGGTGCCACTCCGTGCCTTGCTGGCGCAACGGGTTCAAAGAAGCTCCCTCTCCGCCGCCCGCGGGTAGCGCCTTGAAGCACCTCTTCGCTGTTACATAGCTGTTACTAGCTACATCTAGCTACTAGAGCTACTAGCTTAGCTACTAGCTACTAGATTGCCTCTCTTACAGCTTCACAACCACCACAGCAAAGTGTAGCAGCTTTGGGCTTTCAGTCCAGGTCAAGGGATATAAATAGCTCTTGGGTGTTTGTCATTCTGAGGCCGAGCACAAAGACATTCATCAAAGGCACCGAAGCTGCTGCGCTGGTCGCGACCGCAGCGCTATATTTGATGCGATTTGCCTTGCCAATCGGCGCATGTTCCACCGAGGTCGTGGCAGGAGAGTACATTCAAAGGCTATGTGAAGTACCTCAGGACGCACAGTTTAGGAACGAAGAGATTTGTGGGTTTCCGGCACAACAAGAGGCGAATTTGAAGTGTTTCAGTGCAAAAACGCTTTTGCACGTTCGCACGCTTGGGGCTAACAATTTGGGTGCTGAGAGATCAAAGAGGCCCCCTGCTGCCCGTGCAGATCCTGTTGCTATACGTAAGCTGCTGGGTGTGCGTGCAAAGTACTTGCAATTTAGAATAAAAACTAAAAACTTGATTTGTTACTAGTAGCGATGCACTTGTGAATACATAAAACATATGAATACAGAAAACTGAAAGTCATGAGTGCCGTGTTGTCCAGCAGGGTGTCTAAACGTTTGCCACCAAATGTTTGCGTTGCGGGCCGTGCGGGTTGCGCTTTTTCACTTCTCTTGCTACGCCATGCAACCGGGCTTCTGCAATCAGACTGACTTTTGGTCGTGTTATGTTGGGACCTTCCCCCTACAGCCATGTCCGTTTGAACCTGATAGACCCGCATTCTCCTGATTGTTTCTAATAGCTTCTTGTTACTATTAGTAAGGCCAGGAGCCCCTAGTAGCGTCCTTGCTCCTAGTAGTAAGGCACTTGTTTCTACTAGCTTCTTGTTACTACCAGTAAGGCACTTGTTACTAGTACCGATGCACTTGTTCCTAATAGCTTCTTGTTACACCAAGCTATTATTCCAAGCGGACGCTTTTGGGCACCAATGCTGGCTGGGTACTTGCCCTGTCTAGAGTCCAGAATGTTTAGATTAGCCTGACCACGAAGCGCACATCTCCAACTGAGCTCCCCTCAGAGACTTAAATAGTCTCGGCGAAAAGCCGAACAAACAAGAAAATCCCGACAAATCCGTGTTCACATGTGTTCACCGTGTTGCTGTCTTCGAGAAAGCCGTTTGCCACACGAAAAAACAGTGATTGGTTCTGGCTCCAGGTGGGCTCCGCGTGGCCGAGATCGTTTATCTGAAGAAAAACGCGCAGCCGAATATCGTTTGAATGTCACGATGTGCAAACAGCCGAAGCTACTAGGAGCAAAGGGCATCGATACTAGAAGCAACGAGGCTACTAGGGGCTCCTGGCCTCGCTACTAGGAGCAATGTTCGCTACTATAGTAACAAGTGCGTCGCTACTAGTAACAAGTGCCTTACTAGTAGTAACAAGGACGCTACCAGGAGCAAAGAGCATCGATAGTGCCCAAACAGCCGAACACAACGATTTGATGTGCGCTACATCAATTCAATTTGCTCGGGTTCGCTTATTGAAACCGCCCGTTGTTCTCCTGAATGTATTTTTCTGCAAAACGGGCCATGGACTGGACCTTCCCCCCAAGAGCGATGGCCTCCAACCTAGACCGTTGTTTCGACTTTTCCATTGCAGGACCTTGCGACAACCAGCACAACTACTTTGCTTCCACAGGCACAAGCATCGATATGCATTGCGACGGCAGTCACCCATTTACGCAGACAAATTCTAATGCAGGTAGGATTTAGACGCGTTGCTACCGTACAGGCAACCAAACCAATACGGTGAACTTGTGTTGTGACAGGTTCTCATTCCCACAGTTCAGAGCTTGGTTGTTGACTTCGAATTTCTGCCTGGCGTTTTGATTCTTCAGGTGCCCAACAGCTCTCAGATTTTGCCAGTTGATGCCGCTGTGCTACCTACAGTCGCGCCTCCCAATGCCACGGTCGCGCCCATCCCACCAGTCACAGCAATGCCAATCAGAACAGTTCCGGCAGTGCCGGCTGCAGTTGGAATGATCCCCACGACACAAACCACAAGCACGGCAGCCCCTCAAACAATTGTCACAGCACCGACGCTTTCGGATGGTGAGGTGGGATGCGTGGGATGCATGGGATGCATGGGATGCGGGTGCAAGTGGTAACTGACAGCAATGGCCTCCAACCTACTAGCGTCCTTGTTCCTAGTAGCTTCTTGTTACTACTAGTAGCGATGCACTTGTTACTAGTAGCTTCTTGTTCCTAGTAGTAAGGCCAGGAGCCCCTAGTAGCTTCATGTTTTTCTCAGTTTGTAAAGGCAAGGGCAACTGGCTCCTTCTACAAAGTCGGATCAGGCGGGATGCCGGTTTTGCAGTCTACGAATCTGTGAATGAAAAAAATGATGTACAAAAAATGACGAAATGACAGTACAAGAAATGTGTTGAATGTGGAAGATGTACAAAAAATGATGTACAAGAAATTGATTAGTTCCAGGACAGGTTTTCTACAAGGATGCACGGTGCTCAATAGTTTTTTGCTTGAAACGAAGCGTTTCTCACTTCCATCTTAATCTTCCAAGGACAAATCTGTGTTGCGAGCTTGGACTTGACTCTGCAAGTAAAGGTTGCACGCTGTTGATATCCATGGTGCGAGGACGCTACTAGGAGCAAAGGGCATCGCTACTAGGAGCAAGGACGCTACTAGGGGCTGGAGCAAGGACACTACTAGTAACAAATTGCTCCAATTGATATCTATTTGGTCTTTCATGCTGAGTCTGTTTTTTCGAGGCTCCACAGAGTGAATGGTGGTTGCAGCCAGTTGTCTTGTGGGGTGCTCAGACGGTCTTAGCCCTGGACCTCGGCTTGTGCATGCTTTGTCGCATTTACCCGGCAGAGCAATTTGTTACTAGTTGTAAGAATGCTCCGTTCGTAGCGATGCCCTTTGCTCCTAGTAGCGTCCTTGCTCCTAGTGGCGAGAAAACTCTTTCATTGTGTCGTGATATAAACTTGGGACGCAGGAGTTACATACGCAGATTTGTTGTGGCCACCTGTTGTTTGGGCTGCTGTGTTTTGATGATCTCATGGTTCATGAGAAACCGCTGCATCGTGCTGCATGCAAATGCATGGCTTTCTGCGGTTGCCGACCCTAGACGTCTATCAGGAGCAAGGACGCTACTAGGGGCTCCTGGCCTTACTAGTAGTAACAAGAAGCTAGTAGAAACAAGTGCCTTACTACTAGGAGCAAGGACGCTACTAGGGGCTCCTGGCCTTACTACTAGGAGCAAAGAAGCTACTAGAGGCTACAAGAGGGTCCATTCTTCTCTCCCCAAATTCTTCTCGCATCCTCCAACAGTATCACCATCGAGGGTAGGAGGTCATGGCACTCTTGCAGAGCGAATGAAATGCCCACCTATCTGTACAGTTATGGGAAGACGATCTAAGTTTGGGACCGTTTATTCTTACCTTTTTCTGGACCGTTGCTTTTTTTGTATTGTTTGTTTCTTCATCAGATCATTCATTTAGCAACGTTTGTTAAAGACATGTCTCTTCTGGTGCCTCCTTCTTTCTTTGGACCTTTAGGATCCTTTAGGTATGTCTCTCATTCCTTCAGCCTTGTCTTTTGTATGCTTTCAGGTTTATCAGGCTTGTCACACGTTTACCTGTTTATCTTCTTTTTTGGTGTTCTTCTTTGTTAGACCTTCAGATGTGTTGTCTTTTTTAGACCTTGAGACCTGTTTTGATTGGCTTTACTCCTTGCACTCCTCTTTGGGAACTCGTGGTTGAGAGATGCAGGAACCTGACAACATCAGGAGCAAGGACGCTACTAGGGGCTCCTGGCATCGCTACTAGTAACAAGAAGCTACTAGGAACAAGTGCATCGCTTCTAGTAACAAGTGCCTTACTAATAGTAACAAGAAGCTACTAGGGGCTCCTGGCCTTACTAGTAGTAACA